AAAATGGGAGTCTGAGTCAGAGCCACTGCTTTGGGACCCCCGTTGACTCATTGGGGTGTCCTCATTAATCGTGGGCATCACTTCACACATCATTGCTTAAAAAACATAAAGGGAAATTTTCAATAAGTACATTATTTTCAATAATGACCCCTCTCTGATTTCATCTCACTAAATCCTTCACAGGTCATTACCCTCTTTTCTCTGCCTCCTATCTCCAGTCCAGTGGAGTGGAGGGTGTGGACCTAAATGAAATACAGTCTCTTTAATGTCTATAACCCACATGCTGCCAGCTGTCATGGAAATCCATAGATGTGTTATATTCAATACTTAATCTGTTTCCATTTGTTTTCCATAATTTATCACTCATATTTGATTTACAGAAATACATCATTTGAATAACCACACATCCCATTCCTCTACACCTCTGCTAGTTAAAAAATGTCACACAATGAACATAACTGTACCTTGTCAATGGAAAACACATCCTTGTGCTCCAATGAGTAGAAACTATACAATTTTTGAGTGACAGGCAGATAAGTTATCTAATATTCACTGTTTTAGTCAGAAAATCCCCCAAATAACTGACTATTTTAGGTAACATACTGTTATTTTCTTACTTCCTCAACAGATTTCCTCACAACAACTAACCCTTCTGGTGTGATCTTTTAAAATTTATTTTTATATTGTGTCTTTCTGAACTGTGCACAGACTTAATAAATGATTCAGATTGAATTAGACATAAACTCTAAGACAGTCTGAGATACATGAATTTGTCTTGATTATTATACTGCTAATTACACTTAGCTTTCCTCATAGATGCATTGTGTGGTTTCCATCCAGACAATTACAAACTAACACTCTTTCCAAATATTCCACAAAATAGATTGCACTAAATTACATTACCAAATACAGTCACTTCATATCTCAGCTGCTAGCCGCTAACTCTCAGTCATGGAATAAATGGACTGAATTCTTTTTGAAATTACTAACTTGATTTAAAGTAGACAACACAGACGCTGACATGTGACATTGTTCTATCACATGGAGCATCTTTAAAAATCAGAAACTAATTTTAATTTCCCCTGTCAATTCTCTCTCTCTCTCCCTCTCTCACTACTTCCCTTCCTCTGTCTTTCTCTCTCTGTCTCTCTGTCTCCCTCTCTCTCTCCCTCTCTCACTCCTTCCCTTCCTCTGTCTCTCTGTCTGTCTCCCTCTCTCTCTCTCTCCCTCTCTCACTCCTTCCCTTCCTCTGTCTCTCTGTCTCTCTCTCTCCCTCTCTCACTCCTTCCCTTCCTCTGTCTCTCTGTCTCTGTCTCTCTCTCTCTTTCTCTCTCTCTCTTTCCCTCTCTCACTCCTTCCCTTCCTCTGCCTGTCTCTCTGTCTCTCTGTCTCTCTCTCTCCCTCTCTCACTCCTTCCCTTCCTCTGTCTCTCTCTCTGTCTCTGTCTCTGTCTCTCTCTCCCTCTCTCACCCCTTCCCTTTCTCTGTCTCTCTGTCTCTCTCTCCCTCTCTCACTCCTTCCCTTCCTCTGTCTCTCTGTCTCTGTCTCTCTGTCTCTCTGTCTCTCTCTCTCTCTGTGTATATGTATGCTTAAATATCTAACTCATCTCAATTTTAGTTGTTTTGTGATAGACAAAAGCTATGAAAGACCCTGGTTTTCAGAAAGTCTGGTGTGAGGAAAACCCAGTTTGGCTGTGTGTCCCAAAGCTTTCTCATGATTTTATAATGAAAGGTCAATCAATTTTTCTGTTCACATACATATCCTTAGGGAAACTATTTCTGGTGATATTTTGAAATAAAATGTCAAGATTTAATGGTTCAATATTTAATTACTTTTTATGTGATTCTTCATGTAAATATGGTTGTTCAGGAGCAAACTTAATTATATGTGAACTATTTGGATATGGCCTATTGGAAACTGAGGAGGACTTTAAGAAAATGAAAGGGACTCATTTTATGACACATAATCTAGGTAAAGAAATTAAGAATTGGAAATTTCTAAAATAATTGAAAATACTTTGACGTGGTGTCCATCACTCAAAATGCTGGGCTACCCATCTGAAGAGAGAGACTTGACTCATTTATCTCATATTTACCCTAAAAGTAAGTTGTGGAGCAGATCTTTAGAATGTCTGCACATGTACACCCACACAGACATTCACATTTACTATTACAATTCAGTATTCAATTTACACTTTACAATTGGTCATTTTGATTTTCATTCATGGATTATCCTACCTGTTAAAAATACCACCACTTTTAACTGCTGTAAATTCTCTTTATACTAACTGAAAACAAAATAAAAATTTTTCAACACATTGGCTTATTTAAAAGGATTAGTTCACATGACATGCCTGACATTCACAAATGGAACAACTGTGATGCCCTGAGAGACAAGAACATGAGTCTGTGTATTTATTTTTGACATTGAAGGTTAAAAGAAAGTGCCAGAACAAATTGTTCTATGAAATATAGTTATCTAAATGCTCCTCAATCTGCATTTTAAATCATACTCTAGTAAGAGGAAAGCTATTACTAACTACATTAAATTATAAAGAGGGTTTAATTGTCTTCATTATTCCAAGCATCTATTTCACACAAATAAAGCATACTCTTAATATTACCAAGAGACATTGGACAGTCACAAGATAGAGGATTTTAGATCAGTGGAAAAGGTGGTCATGGATTTGCTTAGCCATATGATGCTATGATGACAAGCTTAGAAAGTTTATTCATTCTACACTTTAAATAACTAACTTCCATCCCACTCCTGAAGCATGTGTAATGGAGCAAGTTGGTTTGCCTTTCAAAACTTCAGGCTCCCCTCCCCAAAGTAAGAGTGATGACCAGTTCATTAAATGTATACAATTCTTTATAAAACAAACACAGTAAAATTGTTTATAAAATTTTTAAAATTCCCACTCTGTGCATCCTGACATAGTGAAATATATAAAGGATTATTTTTAAAAAACCAACATGTTCTCTATTTCTCACTGGTTACTATTTATCCTTACAGACATTATATTGTTCCTTAAAACTCTAGTAGCATACTAGGCCCATAGTTGTGATTCCAGCAGATACTTCTGAACTCTCTAAATTCAATTCATAAAATTCAAACTATGCAAAATTACCTAGAAAATAAGATGCATACATGCTACTTTCTTCTACTCCATCTAAATGAGTAACTCTAGAGTTCTCTCCTCCAAATTAAAAGCAATATGTCTACAAATACCAAAGCTACTTTCATTAGCTAGGTTAGTTATTACATTAGACCTCAGATAATAAGCTGTAAAACAATTGTATGTCCCTCATAACATAGTGTAACAGTTTCTAAATGCACAGATGCACAGCTTGAGTGTAATGGGAGTAATTAAAAACCTATGAAGAATATCTTGTAGGATGAATAACTAGAATATGGTGCAGAAAGATATGGCCATCCAGCATGCTTGTATGTTGCATCCAGATATATCACACTTTGCTTTTAGAGTAATTTTTGGAACTGAAAAATGCAAATATTACATGATCACCGAGAAACAAGTCAGAGCACACAGTTTGCTGAGGTATTATCTTTCCATCAGCCTTCCCTCAAGTCAATGTGAAATATAATTTTATTAACCTCATCTAGATATAGATGACTTGATCACTAAACTACTGAAGGTTCCAGGACTCAGTTTCGGGCAATGCAAATTTTATTTTTAAGAGAGAAAAAATAATATCCCTGATTAGGTTAATTATCTCGGTGCTTAAATTTAGCCCGAATAATTTCATACCAAGAAAACCAACTCCCATGCTATGAGCATATAACCTTGACTATATTCTAAATCGCTCAGATTCCAAAATAAAAGTTTTGAATGCCCAATGGACTCATTCAGCAAGGATTCTGAGATCTAGTGTGTCCCTTAGTAATATATGTTCTTACGGCTATACCTATTCAGACAAGAATAGACCAAAAGACTTTTATTTCTGTAGGTCAATAACTTCATTTAATTGTGTCGCTAGAATTCATACACAGGCCAAATATGCAGTCATTCTCTGTACTAAGTTTCTTCGGCAAAGGTTTAGTCTTCAGAACCTTCCCAGCTCCATCTCTGTTAACCCACAAGGAGTAATTCAGTAAGAGAAAGCCTAGCCATTGTCTGATTACATTACACGAATATTCCTCCTCCTCTTTAACTCTTTGGAATCCCCTGTCCTCGGGAAATATTCCCACCACTCTAATGGAAACGTTTTCACTTTTCCTTACCCTAGTGCCTGCTCAGATGGCCAAAGAGAGCTCACCCCACTCTGCTGGACAAGTTACTGTTCAGCCACACCCCCACCACCCCGAAAGAAGTTGACTTCATAATTTCCACACTAAGATTGTTCATCTGCCCCAGGAGAGAGCCGGCTAGGCAGGAGGTAGAGAAATCAGAGATGGAGAAGATGGGTGGAAAGCAAAGATAACTAACAGTAACCCACAAGGAGGACTTTGCCTCTCCTCTTCCCTGGGGGCGGGGTGGGGCTGAGGGAGGTGGTCAAAAAAAGAAATAAAAAATGAAGCGGAAGAGAAACCATGCAACTCGAATACAGTTTCTGTACCTAATGTCTCTTATTTCAGGTCCTGTTTCTTCAATGGATCACTGACAACCGCAGTCTCGACTGGAGGAGAGGTGAGGCTCACACCCAGCAGTCCTGGACCATTTCCTTAGCAACGGGAGGAGAAAGGCTGCTTAGATACCCGCGAACCCCAGCGTTCTCCTGGAACGTGCCCCGGCTCTGTAGCGTGGCAGCCACTCGGCATCTTCCCGTGGCTCCGTCAGCAGCCAAAAGGAGAAGGGTCCATCGGAAAAATGGCATATTACAAATTTTGCTTTGGGAAGCAGAGCTCGGTTCAGACCATTGTCAAAGGGAAGAGAGGGGGAGGCGGTTCTTAAAGCAGCCGCGGCCCCTTTGCTGCTGAGCAAAGGCAGCTTGAGCGTGCAGATGGAGCCCCAGCGCGGAGAGCTGGTAATCTGGTACTGGAACTGACTTTCAGAAACTTAACCTAGTACCAAGCTCCCCGCGGTGTCTCGGGCCACCCAGCGGGTGAAGAAGCATCCCTTCAAACACGAAATTCTTCGGGTGTAAAGTATGGGAAGTATCTGTCTGTAAGGGAAATTCTCCACCCAGTACCCCACCCGAAGCCACTGTGGAGTTTATGGTAATTGCTGGGAGTTTGATGGTTAAAAGGAAGTGAGTCCCCAGGGATGCTAGAAGCAGGACAGGTCTTCTTTGGGCACCCAGCCTACTTGTGTCCTAGGGTGTATCCTTTCACTTAAAGAGGTTTATCTTCTGGGAGGGGAAGCACACACACACACACACACACACACACACACACACACACACACACACACACACACACAGACCGACCGTTACCGGCCCCCACCCCGGCACCAATTTTCTCTTCCCAGTCTGTCTGCAACTCATCTGCTAGCATCATTTGGCCAACAGAACCAACCTGCGGGGAACGTGCGAGGATGCTATAGCATCCTTGCCTCATGCAAGAGGCTGCTACTCCTCCTTGTGTCTCCTCCCCTCCTCCTCCTTGGCAATCTCCACCTCCTCTTCCTCTGGAACAAGGGCTTCCCCTGGAAGCTGCTGCAGTGGTTTCCACCGGCCCTTAAATAAATTCTGAAGTAATCACGTCTTTGCTCTCCTCCTCACGCACACACGCTCGTGGATACACTCGTCTCCCTCAAAGCGTCTCCAGGGCTGCTGAGGATCAAGCTGGTCCTAGTTCTCTCAATGATGTCGAGGGTCACGGACAGGACAGGCAAAAGTGTAAAGGGGTTCCGTGTCTGTTTTGCCCGACCTGAGCTTCTGCCACGCAGTCATCTTGATAGAAAAGCTTGTATTGGCATGTGCTCCCGGGAACTGGGAACCCTCCTGCTCTGTGGCCTGAGGTACTTGCCGTGGCTTTCAGCGGTTTTCTTCCCTTGAACCAGAGGAAGGATAGGCATGCTTGTAGGAACGTGAGTCAGTCTAGGGTGTGGCTGTGTCTGCCACTTTGCATTACCTCTTCAATTCTCCCCCCATTCATTGCCTCAGTGATGAGGATCTCATGTCAAATGCTCCCTGCCTGGAGGACTACATTTCAGCTTTCCACAGTCTGATCACTCAAAGAGCATGTTCCAGTCCCTTTAAACTTGTCTCTCTGTTTCTCTCTCTCTCCACCCCCCTTTTGTGTGTGTGTGTGGGGGGGGTGTTTGTTCATGTAGATCAGGAATAAGGAGTCATCATTAGTAGACAATTCCAACAAATACTTTAAGGAAATGTTTGAGAGAGGAGGTTACTGATGCACTAAGGGAATGAAAAAGGAATTAAACATCAATATACAGTGGAAGTAACAGCAAGTGTCCACAGGAAGCCAGGAAAGAAATCCAAAAGGGATACTTAAGAGTCCAATTTTTACTAAGAAAAGGTGCACAAACACTGACTCACTGAAGTATGATCACCATGCAGACTTCTTTTTCGGGGAAGAACTTAATTTAGTTGATAATTCAACAGTACAATTTAAGATGAACCTTCTCTCCTAGACTGTTATTCGAGTTTTGAATCTCAATGCAAGAATTAAGTGTAAAAATATTAAGTATGAACATATTAAATCTATTATATGCTAAATGGGACACTCAAATATCCTCACTGTGGGTCTTTTCACCTTGTAGATGCAGAAACTCTAAGGCTAGAGTGGATCTGTAGTGTCTACACTCCAGACAATGCCCACAAAATACCTATGCTTGTGTGAATAAAAATTCCTGAAAAGAATCTGTGTTACCTAAGAACAACTGAACTTCAGTACTATGGAGTGGCTGGAATCCTGGTCCGGAGGCTAATTACCTTATCATATGGTAGCTTTAGCTACTCACAGTAGCTATTCCTTACCAATTCTGCCAGAACTAGCATCCTGGGAATACGAGATAAAACGATTTGGTATCTGTTAACTTAAGAGACTACCAGAAGCTAAGAATGTTATTAGATAGCATCTTGGCCGTCTAAGCAAGACTTCCCTCATCTGGCTGCAATTGTCTCTCTGCTGTACCCACCAATGTATTTATTTTAAACGTATCTTGACCTATGACTTTCTTTGTTCTATGAAATTATAAAAATATATGAAATTGTTTCCATGTGAGATGACTGAATTTTAGTAACCTATAGATGAGTTTCCAAGTCACGGCCATTCAAACAATGACTCCAGAATAAACTGTCATATTCCCTTTAAGATGAGAGCTGTGTTTGTGTGTGTGTGTGTGTGTGTGTGTGTGTGTGTGTGTGTGTTGACATTGGAAAGGTCTAGAACACCCACTGAAATACTGCATGTGCAGGTTTCAGTTGAAGGTTGGATTTCGATGTGTAGCCCAGGCCCAACCCTCCTATTTCAGCATTCTTGGAGTCATGATTGCAGAAATCTGTGACTGGTGGCCAGGCTGTCAATCCACTGCTGGATATAGCTTCAATGCACATAATCCCAGGAACTAGAGATGTGCCTCTCGATTATTAGCCTCAAACAAATCTTTTTTTTTTTTTTTTGGTTTTTCGAGACAGGGTTTCTCTGTATTGTTTTGTTTTGGAGGCTATCGGTCCAGCCCAGCCTCGAACTCACAGAGATCCGCCTGCCTCTGCCTCCCGAGTGCTGGGATTAAAGGCGGGCGCCCGGCTCCTCAAACAAATCTAACATTGCAATATTCACATTATGTTATTCACGTGTCAGTGCTCAGAGCTTTCACTGTCTAGAATCTTACATATGAATTAAACTGTCCCTTAACTTTCAAATTTTTAGAGACAGCTTCTATGTGCACTTGTGTGACAATTGCTACCTTGTCAAACTCCAATTTTAGTTCTCATGCCAATCAATAGCAGCCAAGTAAAAGTTGAAAATGTTCTTGCCATTTTCAAGTTCTTATTTGCTTGATTCCCATGTAGCATACAAATTCTAAGTATCACATTCACGTTTATCTTACACAGAATATTTTTAAAAGGTTACCCTGTAGTTAGTAAGCCAAAGCATGGTAAGGAAAGGCAAGAGTGACCCTGGAATAAATTTAATTATGATAAGAAGGTCAAGGTATTCATAATCACTTTCACTTTAGAAACTATATATTCCTACTTGTAACATGGAGGCAGAGAATATAACGTTCTCTATTGAAATGGGGGAGCAACTTTGAAAAGGCATTCAATTAACCCATTGGTGAGAACGCAAGGACCACTGTCTGTACCCCTTTTTATAGCTTACTGATCATCAAATTCAACATACAAGACACTATCTATGGTGGCTTCTTATAATTAATAGCCTCATCACCACAGCTGTGCACCCATCAGATCAATGATTCTGTGTCAGTATTTTCGTTTCCAGTCAGTTCCAAAGTGATACTGATACTGCTATGTCAACATTCCACTTTAATAATCACTCCTTAAATAGTCACAGAAACTTAAAAACACAGGAGTTACTAAACATCCATGCATGAGGCAAACTGTCTTATATATATATATATATGTATATATATATATGTATGTAAACAATTTTAATGTTAAGGCTATCACCTGCTTCCATTGATTTTAATAGATGGCAAATCAATGAGTATGGTGAACTATACCTATCTCTAAATAATTGGTTACATTTATCAAGTGTGATAGTAGCTACTTTCTTATTATTAGTACTAGGGCACAAGATCATATATGGATTTAGTTCACAGACACATATGGTATTATGGTCATAAATAACTAATGCTTCTTGCCGGGTGGTGGTGGCGCATGCCTTTAATCCCAGCACTTGGGAGGCAGAGGCAGGCAGATCTCTGTGAGTTCAAGGCCGGGCTGGACCGACAGCCTCCAAAACAATACAGAGAAACCCTGTCTCATAAAAACCAAAAAAACCCAAAAAACAAAAAAACTAATGCTTCTTTTGCACACTTTCAAATATTGCTTTGTATATACATTTTTAAATGAAGTATAGCATGCAACTATTCTCATTTACACTATAGTGGCAGATTCACCTGCTTCTGCATGTTGTGAGTGTCAAATGAAATGTTAGTATTACCTAGGTTCTCCAAAAGGGAAGACTTGATAAAATGATAATACATAAATGGATGACCAATGAATGATGGACTATGGTCTCGCTAGCTTCCAAAAGTCTGTCTCAATGGAAAGGATAAGAATCCCAGAGTTGTTCAGTGCACCCAGCTGTATGTCTTAGCTATTCCTCATTCACGATTGGAATGCCAAAGAAATAACTTCTGGTACCGTGGAAGGAATGCCTCAGCCACAAGATCATCTTGCCAGTGGAAAAAAGGATAGGAAGGCAAAAATCAACAGCTTTCTTCTTCCTAATCCTTCTATGTGGGCTGCTACCAGAATGTGTAGCCCTGGTTTAGTGTGGATCCTCAACCAACCCAATCAAGGAAATCCATTGCAGGCATGCTCAGCTGCTTGGGTTTTAATTGGTACCAAATGTGGTAAAGTTGGCAACCTTGATTAACCATCACAAGTAGACTCCTGTCAACTTGACATACAACCCCATCTCTTTATGTCATGCTTAATTTCTAAATGCAAACAATAACCAAGTCATAATTACACCTAATGTGACACAATTGTCCCATTTATAACCACAAATAAATTATATAGTTTATCATAGGTAGCACTGTCCCTTGAGGAATGTTTGGTCATTTAGTGTCTCATAGCTTAGAGTGATAATAATCACTGATAATTTCTAAATCAAAGTTATAGTGCATGATAAATACAAATATCTTGCTATTATATATACACATACATATATGTATATGCACAAACACATTCTTAACAAAATGTGATGGAAACACTGATCAATTACAATCTGCACTCTTGCAGATGGTCATGTGGCCTCAACTAGTAGTTGTAACTGCCTTCATTTATTACTCATTCTGTTTTTCTTCCACAGCTAGAAAATACCTCAGCAGGTTTTGGTTCTTTATCTAGAGGAGTGACTCTTACCTTCATTCATTAAGAATCTGGGCCATTTGTTGTCATGCCTGGATTGGATGGTTGTAGTTTCCTGTTGACTTTAAACACAATAAATGATAACACCAAGAGATACCCTCAAGAACCTCCTGCACTCCCAACATAATCTTCCTTGTCTCCATGTGAGAGAAGTTCAATTTCCCCCTATAGCATGTGTGTAATCGTCTTTTCCACACTATCCAGCTGTGTAAACTGTGTTTTCATAGAACTTTGCTGACTCTTCCTGGGAGTAATATGTCTGTCTGCCAAAGGAATGGACCCTGGCAAGATGTTCCTTCTCTCCTTAGCAATACAGCTTAGCTCCTCAATGACACTATTCAATCAGTCCCCATTCACCATGAGACCTTCAGTCTCCCAAGCAGATCTGGAGAGAGTGATGAGAAATTTTAAGTTTTTCATAGTTTCTCTGTTCCTAGTTTGAACCCTAGTTAAAAACTCCACCGAATGCTAGTAAAGCACTGTTGTGCTGCATAGCCTTGAGCCCCTGGTTATGTTGAATATTGAATTCCACTTCAGCTCCTCTGCACACATCACTGGTTTAATCTCAATACTGGGTCCTCTGGATCAATAAATCCTCCTAACATAGTTACTCTTTTCTTACCCTCTTGGTTCAAGAGATCCAGAAACTCAAATTGGCTGGTAGAACCCTGAACATCCACTTCAATGGAATGTCACCACTTGCCCTCAAATTCAAAAACTCTTTGTTACATATATACGTTCATGTATACAAACATGTATATATAAGTACAACCTGCGGATTCCAATTAGTTTTTCTCATATATGTCTATGTTTAGGGCTTACCACTTAGGATTACATAATTTATCAGGGGCTCATCCCTGGAGAAGAGCAATTGATACTCTTGGCAGCCATTAATTGCCTGTATCTCTTCATTTTGTGACATCAGAATGTCACCTAATGCTATTATGCAGGTCAGTGATTATATTGCTACAGTTTTATGGGTATAACTCCATGTCAAATACAGAAGACGTTATCCTCAAGCAGAGTTTCTTGTCTTTGGTCTCTTACAAATATTCCTCCCCTTTTCCATGATATGCCCTGAGCCATAGATGTAGGAGTTGAATTGTAGATGTGCCAACTGGGGATGGACATCCCAAAGTCAGTTGTTTTCTGTATTTTAATATGTTGTAGTTTTCTGTGATGATCTCCATCTCTTCCAACATTAGAATTATTTGATGAGAGGTGAAAGCTACAGGCCAATAATTGACAAAGGGGACCTCTTAAAACTAATTTTTTTCTGTGCAGCAAGAGAAATAATCTACTAAGTAAAAATGAAGTCCACAGAGTAGAATAGAATCTTTATCAGCTATATGTCAGACTGAGGATTAATATTCGAAATACACAAAAAATCTAAAAATAGAATCAATGAAACCAAATACCCAATAAAAAATGGACTGTGCATCTAAACAGAGTTGTTTCCACCTTTTAATAAGCACTCAATACATTGAGCCTGTAGTATATGCCTTTAATTCCAATACTTGTAATGCAGAAACAACAGGGACATTCAGATATCTTACTTTCAGGGGACATATGAGTCCCAGGAAAACAAAAACTTTATAGACACTGTCTAATATTAACATATTATAGTAATATACTGTGTTATTTAGGAGAAACACCAAAGAGCCAGATAGGTGTAGTAGTTCATAGACAACTGCAATTAATTATGTGCTTTTTCTACCTCCAGTGGTGAGAATGTCAGTGGCTGCTTTCTACTGAAAAGAATTTCAGGCTCCTTTCTGGTCTGTGCCCTGCTCTTTGCTTCTTAATGGAGAGAGTGGATACAGCACACTTCTCAAGAAACCTGAAACACCACATTTTCCTTGCATTGCACTGGGGAAGAGCACTCACGCAGCAGCATCTAATTATAAGAGAGCCTGAGAAAGCCTTAATCCCCAAAGAAGAATAAACATTTTTGACAAAATGTAACAAAAATCTGCCAGTGGTTTCTATATACTCATGGCAAAAAAACAGAACTAAAAGATATGGAAAAAACATATCTACACTTTTGCTGCGCCATAAAATTTAAATAGATTTTAAATGATATGGGAGTGACTAGATACATTTTAATTTCATTTAGACTGGCTCCACAAGATATAATCCCATAACTGACAGCATGATCAGGGCCGTAAACCTGCTCTGATATGTCATCATAAACCCTAGGAGGAGACCCTATTACTCTGCTAAATAGACATAGTATTAGACTAAAATCTA